CGGGATAGTTAGAGTTTTGTTGGTAATCGAACGGGATAAGCTTAAATATGAAAACGCTCTTTTAGATAAACTGGGGAACAAGGATTGTGAAGAATACCATACAAAGTGGTTAGAAGGTGTGTGTTCCGGCGAAAACGGATGTCGAGCCACTTAAGTCTTGAGCGAAATTGTGATATATGATCAAACTCGCGCAGGCCAAAAATATAGCGTATGCACAGATTGAGCAGACGGTCAAGTTTGCTAAGCAGCTCCTCAGTTATATTTGGATAGGCAATATCGGCATAATCAAAAATAGGAAGCAACAGAGAGTTGACTAGCGTAACCTTGGCCGTCTGAGGAATAAATTTTTGCCAGAGCTTTAATGAATGCATAGTTCCAAAAAATACGTCTCCTGATCTCATTAACCTGTAGCACCCAACTTAGATCGTCAGCCGAAATTAAACCAAGGTTCTTAACCTGCCTAACATATTCTAAATCTACACCGTTTAGAGTGACCTTAGGTAGATATTGATAGTCAAGTCGACATGTAATTTTTCTGCTCCCTATGATTATAACCTTTGTTTTGGCAGGATTTAATATTAGCCCATGACATCTTGCCCACTGATGAACTGCAGCAAGATCAGAATTCATTCTGTCAACAGACGAATTTAGGTCATTTAAATCATCATCTGCGTACAGGTGATACTTGCTGAAATTTATTACGGAAACAAGTGCATTGATAAACACAGAAAACAGCAACGGAGATAAAACACCGCCTTGAGGAACACCAGCAACAATGTTACACCAATCGGAGAACTTATCATCAACACGTATGCGTTGCCGGCGTCCCCGAAGATAGGAACTGAACAATTGTAGAACTGACGATGTTAAATTCAGGGATTTCAAAATTGCTAACAGGATGTCATGTTAAAGGCGTTACTGAAGTCCAGAAGGACAAGAAGAGTGAGTTGACGATTATCCATCGCGAAGCGGATATCATCAGTTATTTTAATTAAGGCTGTGGAAGTACTGTGCAGAGATCGGAAACCAGACTGATAAGGATTAAAGAGGTTGTGTTTGTTTAGAAATTTTGAGAGTTGGCCATGAACAACCTTTTCAAGAATTTTGGAGAAGAAGAAGAGGATAGATATTAGCCTACAGTGGCTAAAATTTGTAGGAGAGCTATTTTTGGGGACAGGAATCAGGAACGCTTCTTTCCACTTGGTAGGGAAGGTACTGGAGGCAATGGAGAAATTTATTAGGTGAGTGATATGGGAAACTATTTGGTCCAAAATCGGCAAAACCATGTCACGTCCAATATTATCTGGGCCGACAGCTTTGCTGGATATGACGGATGCAATTTTTTTTACTTCATTATCAGTCACTGGTTCAAAACAGAAAGGAGTACAACATGGTAAAGGGAAAGAAGTGATATCTTTAATAGTATCGCTTTTGACTGTTGAGTCCAACGAAACTGGTAAAGAGCAAAAGTGTTTGTTGAGCGTTGTAAATAGTAGTCGTAAATCAAGGGACTGACTAACATTCTGTTTGCTTTTACCAAAGCCTAGGCTGCGCATAAACTTCCATAAAGTCTCAACAGTATTGTGAATATGTCGGCGTTTGGCATTTCGTATCACATGGTTGCAGCGATTTCGTGCTTTTTTAAATCTTTCCCAGTTCTCATAACTGGGCGAACGTTTATGTTTTCTTTTAAAGCGGTCCCTACGTGCCATAAGAGATCGAATATATGGCGTTAACCAAGGTGCTGGTGCCCGTTTCATTTTTACTGGTCTTAAAGGCGCTACTTTGTCATAAGCTTTTGTTATAATGTTATTGAGTAACCGCAGCTTATTGTCAATATTATTAGTGTTATAAAAGTCTGCCCAATTAACATTGCGTATCTCATAACTTAATAGCTGGCGATTCATACGGACAAGGTTACGCTGAAACATAATTTTGGGAGATGATTTAGTGGATTTAAGAGCATATGATGCGAAAATTAGATCATGATGGGAAAATCCAGGAGCCACGAATTGACCATGTAGAGATATACGATCAGGATCAGATGTAAGGATTAAATCCAGTAAAGAGTTAGTGTTATTGACGTGATAGGTAGATTCGAGGTCAAGAATTTTAATATTGCTTGATGCACTTAAGCGTTTAAACTTATTCGATCTAGCATCATTTCGAATAAGGCAGGTGTTAAAGTCACCCATGAAAATGGGGTGGGAGTAGTTTGGGAGATGCATCTCAATCAGCTGTTGCAATTCATTGAAATAATTTACAGAAGGAGGTGCATAAAATGATGAAGAATGAATGGTGAGAGACCAGAATACACGTGAACCCAAAGGAAAACGAACTAGTTTCTCGCCAATTCTGCCGATGTGCTTAATAATTAAGTATATATTATATAACGTAATTCTGCTAACTTTGCCTTGACAATGACACTCTTGAAGGACCTGGAGGCAAAATTGTACTTCTTTTTAAGAGCGCTGGTATTTGCATCCCGAGACGTCGATGCGCGAGCCCAGGCCTGGTAGCACTCCTGGTTATGACGTAGTGCAATTTTGCAGGAGCGACCAAACCAAGACAGGTTTCTACCTCCGATAGGTACCACAGATGATGAAATAAAAAATTCCATTCCCTGTAGCACCACACAGCGACAGAATCAGCAACAATGCTGGGATCATCCGGCGAGAAGCAAATCCGCCTCCAAGGTTAGAATGAAAAAAAAGATCGCATCCCGTCCCAATCTGCTAACCTATAATGCCAAACACGGCGGCAACCTGCAGTACGCAACCGCGATGAGAGCGTGAGTGACACCATACTCCGGATCAGACAATGGTCCGAGAAGCCAAGAGGGGCATCGGCGGATACCTGATGTCTCTCCGGATGAGAGGTCAGGAGAAGGCCCAACAGGGAAGGTACATGGTCTTCCACATCTGGGATCCGCGTAAGCGACGTAACCAGTTATGTCAGACCATATGCCGAAGCAAAATCATAAACAGATCTACCCGCATGATCGGTTAAACGAGAACTAAGCCATTCAGCGTGGTGGGCGTTAAAATCACCAAGTATCACGATCTTTGCGGATGGGATCTGTTGTAGCACGGAGTCTGTAGCCATCTGCACGTGGTCGATGAGTCGGTCTGTTTCGGCATTACCGCTATGGGACCTATAGAGGCAACCGTAGACTTGGGGATGGTCGTCGCTGTCTACGCGCAGCCATAAGATGGACAGGTCCGTACCTTCAAGGTTGTGGAGGCGTCGAAAACAGATGTCCTCCCTCACTCTAAGCCTCTACTTCACGCTGGTCTTCTGTGAGGTCTTGGTACCATCTATGCCTGCAACAGCAAAGGCTGCCGCGTGGCTCTACCACTATTGCAAGGTGGTTGTCGTGTAGTGAGAATAGAGTAGGAAGACCGTCGTACCGCGGTATTTATACTATCGTAGCAGTACCATGTGTTTACGTTCCGTAAAGCGAACCCGGTGTCGATTAGACAAACGCAAATAAATAAAATATTTCAAAGGGTTACATGATTGCAGTTATTATTCTCTGTGAAAGCAATGATGAAACGTGAAATAATTTATAAGAAACATACTGGCTGAATTTGAGTAGATTTCATAATGACTTTTTCAAGGATATATTTAACTAATGCAATAGTGCAAAATTCTACATTATTAGACTACGTTTTTATTGAAAGATGTACGATTAATTTCATTTAACATTGATTGTTTTATTTATTATATGAACCGGATTTATTTAAATCCTTAATTTTATTAAAATCCTTAATTTTATTAAAATCCTTAATTTTATTAAAACCCTTAATTTTATTAAAATCCTTAATTTTATTAAAATCCTTAATTTTATTAAAATCCTTAATTTTATTAAAATCCTTAATTTTATTAAGACATAGACTAAACGAAATTATCGACAACGTTTTTGCTTCGCTAATGGCACACCAATTGATTTTGATTGTCTATGGAATGAAAAAACGGCATAATTCATCATTATTTATTTGCATAGAATGCAGGTGCTACAAAATTATCATTAAAAAATATTCTATTAAATTATACCTTAATATAGGCGTGCAAATTTTAAATAAATATGTACTCGTATTACACAATTTTTTTATTATTATTGTTGTTTTTTTAATATAATATAAAAATGTTCAATATAAACTTTCATATGTAAATACAGGAAAAATAGCCAACTAATAATTATTCTACAAGTATTACTCCTTGCCTTATTTACTCACAGACTCACAGCAAAAGTATAAATCAATTTGGATAAAGATATTTAAACATGTAATTTCTTTTGATTTTTATATTCAAGACACTCATTTACGTTATAAAAACAATTAAGTATAAGACATTCATAAAGTGTGTTTTTTAACTTAGTCAATGCGAAAAATTTAAACTCGTTGGGTAAAGAATTAAAAAATAACATTTTGGAAGGTATATTCTCTCATTAGATTTTTATCCTAAACATCTATCCCTTAAACATATTTTAAAGGGATATTAATACTATAATAAAATATTTTTTTTAAATAATTTAAGATTTTTACAGGATTTATTAATTTACGTTAATATTAGTATCTAGTGTCACGTTAATATGTTTGAAATATAATTTAATATGTCAATTAAAGCTACAAATATATTAACCATAATTAAAAAAGATATTTGTTTTATAGATCCTTCATCAAAATACATCTAAATGAACTAATATACACTTAAACGACGAGCATGTACGCATAGGTATACGGACATATAGGAGGATCGTGCGAAATGGAAGTCCGCAGTCTCTGCCCAACTCTCTAGGTAAATAAGATGTTAAAAAAACACAGCTTAAACACATTTAAAAGTTAAGTAGTTCGGAGTGACACTAATTTAATGGCAGGTTTGAATCCGATATTCGAATACTGTCGTGAACCACTCCTAACACCAGCATTCTAAGCTAATAAGTAGTGGTTGAAGGGAATATGAGTAATGTTAAATAGCATTGCTTATATTTAAAAAAGTTAAAGTATTTGTCGAGGTTTTAGTTTAATGTGGACTCCATCTTGAGTTCTTAATATGAGATCCGCTGTAAATTCTGGTTCTTTATTGGAAGGCAGCAGCTCGAAATGTTTGATAATGCCGGATATAGTTACTTTCATCTCAATCATAGCAAACTTCTGACCTGTAAATCACAATTTAAATTTATTTGGATAAATATCCATAAAATATAATTCCCCTAAAGTGTAGTGTGCCGTTGCGTTGAGCGGCAATACGAATACCATCTGAGTGTCATTTGCGTATCTTTATTGCCTCTGTCTATGTTACGAAGGTATCTTTTACTTTCATTCCAGTGAAATTATCTGCAGATAAGACAGAGCTGTCAACAAAACATAAACTGTTATCATTTGAATATATATAATAGTATTCTGATCTGAAAATGTAAAACTATCACTTTACAAAAGGTAATCAAACATTGTTTATAACCGATATTTCAAAACGGCTTTTTATATCCATATATATGAATACTTCATAATGTAAATACGATTATGTAACCGTAAACATATTAACTGTTATAACCGTTAGGGTTTATAGGGCAAGTCTTCGCTTTCCATTACTTATTACGGTAAGTTCCTTTTGCTAGTACCTTCCAACTGCATTCTGATCACAGAACTTACACAAATAAATAATAATGACATGCGCTATATATTAAAATCATGAAAGCGTATTTAACCGCCACTTATGTTGTTACATGGCAAATCAAAAGTCTAGAATAAAAGAAGGCTCTACAATAGAAAGGTCGAATAAAAAAGCGTCTTTTCCGCGGTAGGTCTAGTCCCAACACAAAACTTAACAAAAAAGCAACTTTTTCGCGATATATTTTAAAACTTACAACTAAAATCAGTATAGGTAACCTTATTACCCGCCGTTGGAAAATCACATAACACTAATACTCTCTACCGAGAGGCAAAAATGCATTATTGATATTGACGCACAAGGCAAAACATTGACTAAAACCAAAAGTAGTCTCGATCGTAAAAATGTGAAATCGGTAGAGCCGCCGTATGCAGTATTAGTAGAGTGGTATCCAAAATCTGTTAAATAAATGAGAAAAAAAAATTATCAAAAGTGTTGTAAAAAAATTTAATCAATTCCACTACTTTAGAGAATATGGAGGCGATGGCGATAGGGCTGTAGTCGGACAAATCAGAGCCGTTAGCTTTTTTAGGGATCGGGTGCATAAAAGTTGTCTTCCACGACTTAGGTACAACGTCTGAAGAGTAGGAGTACCGAAAGAAATGCGTAAGAACTGAGAAGAAGAATGGTGCCATCTCCGAAGCACGCGTCTTCAGCACAATTGGAGATATGGTTGTAGTTTGACGAATCGAAGCGGTTAACTTTTTTAGAGATTGGGTCCACGAAATCTGTCTTCCATGATTCGTCCACTCGATTTGTAGATGTCGAGGAAGAGTGACAAACAGACAGTGATAAAAGAACGGAACGGAGCACTCACAATGCGGGACAGTCGGCGACAAGTTTTCTCCTGTCATTGAGAGTTGAGTTGAACGTAAGAAGGGAGATTAAAAGGTCGGTGTTTCCTATTGCGGCATGAGCTAGCGAATCGTCCACCCTGTGCAGCGATGAAAGTTATACCTAGCTGACAGAAATACCCGTGGACAACCTTAGCGAAAGAACAATTAGTTTTCTTTACGTGGCAGAGTCATGCTGCAGCTATGTTATGGCTGTAGCACGAATGGTCTGCTTGAACGGGGAAGGACTTCACTTTCACAGAATACCAGCAAAAACTAGCAGCTCAATGTTGCTGTGTTTCGTACGGTAAGTGTGAGTGTAGGCCAAATACGAGTCGGACTCGTGCATGCAGGGTTCCGTACCATCGTAAAAACATGTTTCTAGTAGAGAGATTTTTATTATTAGTTGTTATTGCGGCAACAGAAATATACATTATGTGAAAATCTCTACTATCTACCTATTAGCGATCATGAGATTACAGCCCGCTGACAGACAAAAAAGACGGACAGCGGAAGCTTAGTAACCCTTTGGGTACGGAACCCTAAAAAAAGAATAGAATGTACAGGTTTCCGAAGGAAGGTGAATTTCTCGCCAATTCTGCCAATATGTTCCAACTTGTCACTGTAATAACTCTTCTAAGGGACCTGAAGGTGGAGTTATACTTATTTTTAACGGTTCTGATCTTAACATCCCGGTCGCTCATGCGTCAGCCTAGGACTGATAACAAGTCTGCTTTCTGAGATCTAACTTTGATGGTTACCATAGATAATTTAGTAAATAATTACATTCTCTGAAGCACCGTATCAGCGATAAAACGGCAATAACGCTGGGATCATCCGGCTAGAAGCAAACCCACGGGTAGAATTAAAAAAAAGACAGCAGCCCATCTCAATCCACCGTTCGATAGTGTCAAACATGGTGGAAAACTGCAGAAAGCTAGCACAAAGGAATTGTGAGTAGCAACGTACTCCGGATCAGACAATGGTCTGAAGAGGCAAAAGGGTAACCGACGGAGACCGGACCTCGTATCTCATCTGCACGGATATCATCGTCTCAATTCGAATCAACAGAAAGTCCAACAGAGAAAGGAATTTGGACTAATCTGTACTTTATACGGCAGAAATGTTTGTTTACACGTAAGTAGAAGATAATCATGGAAACTAACAATAGTGTTACTTGTATATGGGATATAAAAACCTTTAATATATTAATTATCAAATTTTATTTCTATAACTATTTAAAATTCAGAACTCAAGGCAATAAATATGTAAATGGTAAAATAAAGTATTTGCAAATAACTTACTGACACATATTATTGTTACGCCCAAATCAACACTGCCTCGATCGCATCTTGCAGCGCCTATATATTTGAATTAGCAAAGAAATATCCAGAATGTTCAAGTAAACACGCGGAAGGTATCGAGCGTTCGAGTTTCGACTAGGCGCTGTCAGTTGAGCGATTTGTGATGTCATTTTCTCAATGCTCCCCTCGCTCTCGTTCCTGACACTAGATGGCGCTAGTTGACTTATTCATGCAACACTGCCCCCTCCTAAGACATGCTCGTCCCGAGCATTATCGGTCCCATAATAACGCGCCAAGCGATCCACATGGACGATCTTAGGAGTCCCTCTTGCGCCTTTCTGTATCCGGTAGGTCACATCGTTGATCCTGGTTACAATCCGGTACGGGCCGTCCCATTTAGCTTGAAGCTTAGGAGATTTCCCTTTGCTGCGGACTGGATTGTGCAACCACACAAGTGAACCTTCGTCGAAACCTTTGTTGTTCATTTTGCGGTCATACCGGGTTTTCATCTTTTCAGACATTTGCTGGCCCGATTGTCTGACGTGCTCATAAACGTCATTCATTTTTTTCCGCAAGTCATTTGCATAATCGGTTATACTGCGTGGAGCATCGGGTGGTATCCCGGTGATCAGGTCTGCAGGCAGCCGTAATTCTCTTCCAAAGTTTGCGAAAGCTGGTGTCACTGCTGTACTTTCGTGAACAGAACTTCGATATGACAACAAAAACGGTTGTATGTGCTTGTCCCAATCTCGTTGCCGATTGTCTACAACTTTTTGCTAGGTACCTCTCCAATGTCTGATTAAATCGTTCCACCATTCCATCAGATTGCGGGTGATAAGAAGTAGTTCTTGTTTTATGAGTACCCATAACTCGGCAAGTTTCCTGGAATATTTGAGACTCAAAATTCCTTCCTTGATCGCTGTGAATCTCTAAAGGTACTCCAAAACGACAGAAGACTTCATGAACTAGTTTATCTGCAACTGTTGAAGCTTCTTGATTTGGAATGGCGAAGACTTCTGGCCACTTAGTGAAGTAATCCATCACAACCATGAAATACTTGTTACCGCTTTCACTCTCCGGAAACGGCCCCGCCACGTCAATGGCTATTCTCTCCCATGGTGCACCAACATTGTACAACTTCAATGCACCTCTACTACGAGTCTGAGGTCCCTTTACAGCCGCACAACTTGTACATTTGCGACACCAGTCCTCGACATCGTTTCGACAGTGGACCCAGTAAAACCGTTCTCGGATCTTCAGTAGAGTTCGTTTAACTCCCAGATGGCCTCCTGAACAATCATTATGGTACAGCTGTAGAACATCCGGTACTTTAACTTTAGGGACAACCATTTGCAAATGACAGCTGTCTCCCCGAACGTTTTCCCATTTACGACACAGAACTCCATCCTGAAGCAGCAAGCTGTCCCACTGGGCCCAATAGCTTTTAGTGGTCGAACTCATCGCTGAGAGGTCACTCCACTTGGGCTTGGGAGCACTGGCCTTTATCCATTCCAGAATCGGCTTGATGTCCGGATCTTCCTGCTGTGCATGTAGTAAGCTGTCCTTCCACTCGTTGCTGAGGTGGTCTGCCCTGAGCATCCTCACGGATACCACTTCCTTACTGTCTTGCCTAGTACAATGTTTGCAATCTTCAGGACAAGGTCTTCTTGACAATGCATCTGCGTTGCCATGAGATTTCCCGCTGCGATGTTCGATCTCAAAGTCGTATTCCTGCAGTAGTTCAATCCACCTCGCAACTTGTCCTTCTGGGTTTTTAAACTGCAATAGCCATTTTAGTGCAGCATGGTCAGTTCGTAAGTGAAATTTTCGTCCCAGAAGATATTTGCTAAAATGTTGCAACGACTTTACCACAGCTAGCAATTCGCGTCTTGTGACACAGTAGTTCCTTTCCGGTTTTGACAACGACTTGCTGAAGTACGCTATCACGACCTCTTGGTCACCATTCCGTTGAGACAACACACCGCCGAGTCCTATATCACTTGCGTCTGTGTCAACTATAAATTCTTTGCTTGCATCAGGGTATCCCAAAATAGGTGTTTTGCACAGACGGTCCTTGAGCTCCTGGAATGCGATATTGCAACTTTCATCCCAGCAGAAATGTCGCTTCTCCTCGGTTAGCTTGTGCAGAGGTTTGGCTATATCTGCAAAGTTCTTCACGAATCGCCGGTAATAGGAGCACAAACCCAAAAATGCTCTAACCTGCGTCTTGTCTTTTGGAACCGGCCAATCCTTGACAGCGGCGATTTTCTCTGGATCTGTGCGGATACCTTCTTCCGATACTACAAACCCCAAAAAGTTAACTTGCCGTTGAAATAGTGAACATTTCTTCGGGCTCAACTTGAGGTTGGCACTCTGAATCTTCATGAGCACGCGTTCCAGGTTTTGAAGGTGTTCCTCAAACGTACGGCCCACGATGATGATGTCATCCAAGTAGACCAGACAGGCATCGCCAATTAGCCCGGTAAGTACAAGTTCCATCAGCCTTTCAAACGTTGCTGGAGCATTGCACAACCCAAACGGCATTACCTTGAATTGCCACAGACCCTTTCCCGTCGAGAACGCAGTTTTCTCCTTGTCCTTAGGGTCAATTTCAACTTGCCAGTAGCCACTTTTTAGATCCAGCGTGCTAAACCATTTTACTCCTGTAAGCATGTCCAGCGTGTCATCAATTCTTGGCAAGGGATAGCTGTCCTTCTTTGTAACGTCGTTCAGACGGCGGTAATCAACACAGAACCGCATGCTGCCATCCTTCTTTTTCACCAGCACTACTGGTGAACACCATGGACTAGAGGAAGGTTCAATAACACCATCCTTCACCATTCCTTCAATCATGGTTTCCACTTCCTTTTCTCGTGCTACCGGCAATCTTCTTGGCCGCTGACGGATAGGCAATTCCTCTCCTGTGTTTATTTTGTGTTGAACTAGGCCAGTCTTTCCTATGTCAGCATCATTTGATGAGAATACATCGGCGTACTTGAGTAACAACTTCTTCGCCTTGACCAATTCGTTCGGGGACAGAACACTGCGACAGTCTTCCAAAAGTGTGGTCACTCTCGTTTCTGAATCCTGGCTGGGGGTCCCCCTCGATATATATTGGCACTGACGTAACCAATCCACTTCCTCACAAGTACCAACCAGTGTGCCTTTTTCTATAATCTGTTCCCGGTCGCAAAGGTTCAGCACACGTACTCCTGAGATGTCAGTGGTCCTGACCAAGGTTCGAGCTACTTTCCATGGAAGGTCATCGTTTACCCCTTCCACAAGTACACAACGGTGAGCTTGCCCAGCGTTTCGAGGAAGACTAACCGGAACAATCGTTTCCGATCTCGGCGGAAGAACAATCTTCTTGATGCTGTACACGTTCCCTGGTAACGCACCTTCCATAAAAAGTTCCTCCTGTCCACATTTCAAAACACCTTGCTTAACGTCGATCTCGCAACAATTATTCCTCATAAAGTCTAAGCCTAGGATGCAGTCGTCCATTATATCAGCCACGATGACATTATGCAGGTAGATCACGTTGCCTAGCTTCAACTCCATCTCCTTCTCTCCACGGACGGGTATACGCTGACCGGTGGCTGTTACCAAATTAAGGCGTTCTCGGTTGTATGCGGAGTCCCCAAGGAACTGACTTATAAGTTGGGAACTAACAACCGTACGAGAGGCTCCAGTGTCTATGGTCAGCTTACACGGCATTCCGTTGATCTCGCCCTTTATGATTAGGCTGTTCCCATCATGGGTTTGTGAGATCGAGATCCTTGGGGCTCTTTTAACATCAGCCAGCACCCGCCCCGCAGTTCTGGCTTTTACTCGTTTCCCTGCCGCTGCTGGGCGGTGCTGTTGGCCGCACTACCCTCCTGAGATCGTTCAATTTCCCTTTCTAGGGTTCGCTTAGGGCAGCTGGATCGAAGATGGCCCTTTTCCCCACAGCCATAGCACCTTGGGCTGTATCCTTTGTTGCGGTCGCGAACTGTAGCTGCTGCAACCTCCCTGACGCGATGGGAACGATGATCCTGCCGCACGGCTTCCACTTCCAGTGCATGGGCCAAGGCGTCCTTAAGCGTCTCGTGGTGCCCGAGCCTCACAGCAGCTCTGACTTCCAGGTCGCGGATGCCGTCGATGAATGTCTGCACCAGGTTCCCTTCAATGAGCGCAGGTACAGACCGGTATGCTTTTCGCACCAGCTTCTCCACTTCTAGAGCCCACTGCTGCAGGTTTTCGTTGATGCGCTGCACACGATCTTTAAGCTGCGCACGAAAGACGTGTTCCAGGTGAGCGTCGCCATATCTCGCCTCCAATGCCTCAAGGAGTTGCTCATAAGTCACGTCCTCACCGAGAGCTTCCAGAACTGTTAAGGCCTGGTCGCGCAGGCCTAGTGTGAGAGCAGTCATGGCCTGACTTTTATTCCAGCCGTTCGCCTTCATAACAGCCTCGAACTGGATTTTGTAGGCTGACCAGGAAGAAGTCCCGTCGAATGGTGGCACCTTGAACCCACGTAGCGAAGGTGTAATAGCTACTACGGGAGCTGTAGTTCCATCCCCCAGTTTGAGGTCGTCCAGCGTTTTCTTCACGTCAGCCATCACGTAATCAACCCGATTGTTTACTTGGTCGATTTGGGTTTTAGCTTCCTTGATTTGGGTTTCAGCTTCCGACAGGCGGTTGTCATGCTGAGCAACCCTATCCATCACCTCCTTTATCTCCTTCCCGAAGGTAGCGTGAAGGTCCTTCATGAGGAGCATCTGCTCTTCCAACCGACGGGCCTGTTCCTCCTGTCCGTCCCGCAGCTGCTCTTCCAATCGGCGTGCCTGTTCCGCCTGCTGGCGAGCCTGTTCCTCTCGTCCGCGCTGCAGCTGCTCCTGTAGCATGGCCATCAGAGCACCTAAGTCAGGTGCTGCAGATGTAGGAGCTACTGACGGGCCCGCAGTCTCCGTGGCTAGCTGTTGGCCCTCCGACGTCTGCGGCGTTGCACCACCAAACCTCCTCTGGTCCGTCTCCTGCTGGCGTTGACTTCGGGTACGGACACCCTCCGTTTCCTCCTTAGGTAAAATCGGCATGATTTAATCCCACTTCTGACACCAATTGTTACGCCCAAATCAACACTGCCTCGATCGCATCTTGCAGCGCCTATATATTTGAATTAGCAAAGAAATATCCAGAATGTTCAAGTAAACACGCGGAAGGTATCGAGCGTTCGAGTTTCGACTAGGCGCTGTCAGTTGAGCGATTTGTGATGTCATTTTCTCAATGCTCCCCTCGCTCTCGTTCCTGACACTAGATGGCGCTAGTTGACTTATTCATGCAACATTATGTAAATGAAAACGCTTACCAATACAATTTCTGGGGCCTGCGCTGAAGGCAAGCCAGCTGAATGGATTCCGCGCTTTAATTGATTCAAATCGTTCTGGTCTAAACTCCATGGGATCTTCGTAAAACTCGGACAGACGCTGCATATGAAATATATCGACAATCACTGATGTTTTTTTCTTGAAATTTAAACCTGCGACTTCTGTAAACATGCAATTCATTCAATACAATACAATACAATACTCTTTATTTTACACCAACAAAACATAAATATAACAAATAATGAAAAAACAATGAGGGAAAAACAACAGGCGGTCTTATTGCTACATTTATATTAATAAGAAAGTGAAAACAAAGAAAGTGAAAATAAGAAAGGAATTATTTTAATGAAATCTTTTTTTTTTTATATTATTCTTTTCAGATTCATTAATTAAAATAATGACAACAAATCATTGAGGATGATTTGTTGTTATTATTTAGTAGGCATTGTACTATCATTACCAATGATAGTGATTGTACACTCTCATACAAATCTTTCAACCCAACCTCTCATTACAACACGTTATTGTCCGATTTATGTCAAAATTTTTTGGTTGCCAAAACTTGTAGTAAAACATGTTTTGTTTTGTGAAAGGAAACATGTATACTTCTAAATATTATTAGGCAGTTCAAAAGCAATAAGATACATTGTAAAAAAAGAAAGATTTTAAACATGTTTTTCTGTTAGTTTTCTAGTGCAAACTTACAGTAACCACGAAAGACCACAGCCAGTAGCTATCTTTATAAAACGAAAAGTGTGTAAACGTATCTACGGAACGGAGTATTATTTCCATCGTAAAAAGATCTGTTACCTTCAGGTCGCGCCTAAAGAAGGTTTACTACAAAAATAAATTATTTATTTTGAATAATCCGCCATTTCAAATGTTGTTGTTATTATTGTTCAAGACTCAAGTTGTGTGAACCTAAGATCCGCCGCTGTATTATTGTCTTAGTGTATTCTAAATTTAATGAAAATCACGCCTGAATATTTTAAAAAATACTTAATATTTAAAAAAAAATGTTATTTACTCTACCTTAATCAGCCTTAATAAAAAGACTGTGTCTATCCTTTGATTAGATTTCTGTGGTCAAAAAACGCTGTAACCGGTTTTGAATGCTAGATCTAAATAAGTATGTACGTTCAAAGTAATTTTGAATGTACTTTTTACATTTCCAGAGGATAATGAAAGGTGAATTTATTTCATATTTAAGTTTTTTTATTAGGTACTTAAAATAAGTATACTATGTAAGTAGTTAGTACCTACTTACTACTAGGTACTAAGGTAGGTTACTGAGATATGGTCAACTACGAGATTTTACAGAAATCTATACATAAACTACCCAGGTATTTCCGTAGCGAAAAAAGAATTAAGTAATACTTTTACTACAGAAGTACTTACTGACGTAGCTATACTTGACTTTTGTAATTAAAGTATCTTAAGTTACAATAACACAAAATACTGAAATTAAAACTTTGTTTACAAGATTTTCAACTACGCTACGTAGAGTTCGATCACTGTTAGTAATCGTAATGCGGGTTTATTTTTTGTTTACACTACCTAGCTATTTCTTTCAAGTCAAGCATCGCGATTCACGACGAATGGTTTTGCAAGTTGAATGCGTCGGGCATCACAGGACTCACATAGTACCTAGCAAAAATATGGTCAGGCGATCAAAGACAGAATGTAATTTACCTAAGTAACTTACTTACTTGCCATTTCAACTTACTTACCATTTCGCAATGTATTTTTTACTCTCTATTGACAGCCCTTAGTAACTACGTAATAACCGCCGTGACGTAGGAAGTGCAAAAGATGCAAAGTAATACGGACACTCGCCACAGTGACAAAGTTTTTAAAAGGCTATTAAACGTCTTCAAGCAGTCTATATCAAAAGAGTACAACTGCTGTAAGCAGTACTATTATTTATTTTGTATGTGGCCATATTCATAAACACAACAGTTCATTTTAGGTTTTTATTGTTGTAAATAATACATAATAATACGTACCTATATCTATAAATATAAAAATTAATTCCTCTGTGTTAGTCTAGCAAAAGCTCGCAAATGGAATGACCGATTTTGATGAATTGAATTTTTTTGTGCGTGTTTGAGTCCGGGGTCTCTGGACAGTTTAGATTCAAAATTGAACATGGATAGGTGGCGCTGTTGTCATGATCCAGAAACCGCTCGTGTAAAGCGGGGGCGGATCATTAGCTACGTATATAGTTCTATTACCTGGGTGGATTGAAAAGTACTCGGCCTAACACAGATCCATTCAATTCTAAAAATCAAATCTACCCACATTATTTAGTTCAGTTCGGACTAGTTCATTGTGTGAAGTTCGAAACGTGTGCGATAATTAGTTGTGATTTTATAAATTTATTAACAAAGTAATCGGACATAATTTCCGCGAATGGAGCAAATCGAGCAGCGTGCCGTCATTAAGTACCTCCATAAGAAGGGGCTATCATCAAAAGCCATCCATGATGATATGGTCAGTACATTAGGCGATTGTGCTCTGTCATATTCATCCGTCAAAAAATGGATAGCAGAATTTAAGCGTGGTAGAGAGAGTGTGAAAGATGAACCCCGCTCTGGAAGGCCTTCGACGTCAACTACTGGCGAAAATATTAAAAAAGTACTTGATTTAATAATGGGAGACCGCAGATTAAAAATTAGAGAGATAGCCGAGATTATAGGCATCTCTTATGAACGAACTCAAAACATCATTGTCAACGAGTTGGGTTTCCACAAGGTGTCTGCGAGGTGGGTTCCGCGACTGCTTTCAGTTGAACAAAAAAGGACGCGATTGACTATTTCACGCGACTGTTTGGAGTTATTTGAAGCCGATGCAGATGATTTTTTGAATCGTTTTGTTACTATGGACGAAACATGGGTTCATTACTGTACACCGGAAACAAAACAACAATCAAAACAGTGGAGAAGACCTGGTTCACCACCCCTAAAAAGGCTAAGTCGATTTTGTCGGCAAATAAGGTGATGGCTTCAGTATTCTGGGACTCGAAAGGTGTGATTATGATTGATTATCTTGAAAGGGGTCAGACTATAAACTCTGATTACTACTGCACCTTACTACGTCGTTTACGAGAGGAAATAAAAGAAAAACGTCGAGGAATGCTCAGAAGAAAAGTCCTGTTTCATCAAGATGACGCCCGTGTTCACACGTCAGTACAGTCAATGGCTGAAATTCACAACTGTGGCTTTGAACTGTTACCGCATCCGCCGTATTCACCTGATCTGGCACCATCAGACTTCTTTCTGTTCCCTAACCTAAAAAAGCACTTGGGAGCTCAAAGATTTTCGACAAACGACGAGGTCAAAGCAGCTGTAGACGCATATTTTGACTCTAAGGAAGAATCATTTTTTTTCAACGGTCTAAATGCTTGGAAGGGGAGGTGGCAAAAGTGTATTGAACTTGATGGTGACTATGTAGAAAAATAAAAATATAACTGATTTAGTATGTGTTTATTTTCTTGGTAAGGCCGAGTACTTTTCAATCCACCCTCGTATTTTAACAGTGGTAGAGCCTCGCGGCAGCTTTGCTGTTGAACGTATGGGCCGGCTCAAACCGGGGTGGTACCACGACCTCACAGAATACCGGCGTGAAGTGGAAGCTCTGCTTCCGCGTTTCATCTGGTGAGTGCAGGTGGCCGGAGGGCCAAACCCCCCCCCCCCATCAACATGGTAGCGGTATTAAATGATGATAGACTACCACAGGAGGGTACCAGCACCCCTGGAGAATCCCTCGCTGAGCATCCACAACCATTCTCCACCTCTGAGCGTGGGTGCTCAGGCCCCCGCGTATTCTGGGGGGGGGGGGGGGCAAAATTCCGCTCAAGACTACAACTGCTCGGCGCAAACGGAGCAACAAGACCAAGGCGACCCCTGCCACGCTGTCCGTGAATTTCTGCAATATCAGGGGACTTCACTCTAACCACGTCCACTAGCATCTCGAGACGGCGAGGCCAGCTCTGCTCTTTCTGACCGAGACGCAGGTGTCCTCTCCGGCTGATGTCTCGTATCTCTCCTACCCGGGGTACAAACTGGAACACTCCTTTGTGCCTCGGGCTGGAGTTCGCGTTTACGTCAGAGAGGACATCTGTTCTCGACGCCTGGGCAGACTTGAAGGTTCGGACCTGTCCATCCTTTGGCTACGCGTAGACAGCGACGACCATCCGCGCGTCTACGGGTGCCTCTATAGGTCCCATAGCGGTAATGCCGAAGCAGACCGACTCTTCGACCACGTCCAAATGGCTACAGATTAGTTGCTACAGCAGATCCACTCCGCAGAGATCGTGATCCTCGGCGACTTTAACGCTCATCACGCCGAATGGCTTGGTTCACGTTTCACCGATCATGCGGGGAGATCTATCTGTTCATGATTTGGCCTTGGCATATGGTCTGACACAACTGGTTACTTCGCCTACGCGGATTCCAGATGTGGAGGATCATGCACCTTCCCTGTTGTACCTTCTGCTGACCTCTCACCCGGACGGATATCAGATTTCCGTCGACGCCCCCTTAGGCTCCTCGGACCATTGTTTTGTCCGGAGTGTGGTGCCACTCACGCTGAAATCGCAGTTGCATTCTGCAGGCTGCCGCCGTGTTTGGCACTATAGGTCAGCCGATTGGGATGGGATGCGGTCTTTCTTTGCATCCTACCCTTGGGGGCGGGTTTGCTTCTCGCCGGACGATCCCAACGTTGTTGCGGATTCTGTCGCTGATGTGGTACTTCAGGGTGTGGAACTTTTATTCCTTCCTCTGTGGTGCCCATTGGAGGCAAATCTCAGCCATGGTTTGGTCGCTCCTGTAAAATAGCATCATGCTATAAGCAGGAGTGCTACCAAGCCTGGGCTGACGCATCAGCGTCCCGGGATGTAAACACCAGCGCTCTAAAAAAGAAGTATAATTCCGCCTCTAGGTCCTTCAAAAGAGTAATTGCCAAGGCAAAGTCAGAGCACATAGGCAGAATTGGCGAGAAACTAGTTCGCTTTCCTTCTGGAACCTGTGCATTCTGGTCTCTCGCCAAGTCTATCCAGGGGAATTTCTGTCAGCTATCTCTTCCATCTCTGCACAGGGAAGACGACTCACTCGCCTATACCGCAAAGGAGAAAGACGATCTTCTAGGCTCTTTCTTTGCATCCAACTCGACTCTCGATGACGGAGGGAGTACGCCGCCGACCATCCCGAGGTGCGAATGCTCCATGCTGGAAGTACAGTTCACACAGCGCTCGGTTCGCAAAGCACTCTCTCCCTGGACATCCACAAGTCGAGTGGGCTGCGGACCCCCCATTGTGCTGAGGACATGTGCTCCAGAGTTGGCACTGGTTTTAACGCGTCTTTTCCGGTACTCCACTCCCTAGGCGTAGTCCCAAAATTATGGAAGACGGCTTTCGTCTCCAAGCGACCGCTCAGACCCGTCCAATACCGGCCTATCGCCATCTCCTCCTTGTTCTCCAAAACAATGGAGTCTATTGTAAACTGCGCTCTGGGCTTGAGGATCACCAGCTGATTAGTGACCGCTAATACGGTTTTCGCCGTGGTCGGTCAGCTGGTGATCTTCTGGTCTACTCTCTAAACTCACAGATGGGCGGAGGCAGTAGAGTCCAAGGGGGAGGCATTGGCCGTTAGTTTGGACATTGCGAAGGCCTTCGATCGGGTTTAGCACAAAGCGCTTCTTTCGAAGCTCCCTTCCTATGGGCTTCCCGAGAAATTGTGCGATTGGATCACCAGCTTTCTTGCAGATCGGAGCATCAAGGTCGTTGTAGACGGTGCAAGCTCCGATTGCAAGCCTATTAATGCTGGTGTTCCACAAGGCTGCGTGCTATCGCCAACGCTGTTTCTTCTGCATATCAATGATATGTTGCAAACCCGTAACATTAATTGCTATGCAGATGACATTACTGGTGATGCTCTTTACACCGGCCGAGCCAATATTTCTCGGGAAAATGTCTCCGAGTGCCGGGACAAACTTGTGTCTGAAGTCGAGTCTTTGCTGAATAGAGTCTCGGATTGGGGGCGACTAAACCTAGTCCAGTTTAACCCCTAGAAGATACCTACAAGTTTGCGCGTTAACCGCCAAAAAGAACCCCTTTGTCGTATCTCCTCAGTTTCAAGGCACTCCCCTTGTTGCCTCAGCCAGTATCGGAATCCTCGACGTCGACATATCGAGTGACATTCAGTTTCGTGGTCACTTGGAAGAGAAGGCCAAATTGGCCTCTAAGAAGCTTGGCGTGCTCAGCAGAGCGGGACAGTATTTCATGCCGGCACACCACCTGCAACTTTACAAGGCGCAGGTTCGGCCGCACATGGAATACTGTTCCCATCTCTGGGCTGGGGATCCCCAGTACCAGCTCCTTCCACTTGACCGCATCCAGCGCAGAGTGGCTCGAATCGTCGACGACCGAGTGCCTTCCGATCGGCTCGATTCACTGGTACTGCGAACGGATGTTGCATCTCTTTGCATTTTCTTTCGCATATACCATGGAGAGTGCTCTGAGGAATTGTTCGGATTAATTCCAGCCGCCAAATTTCGTGAACGCACTACGCGGCAAACGTCCCGATACCATCCACACCATCTGGATGCTTGGCGATCCACCACTGTACGTTTCAAAAGGAGTTTTCTTCCGCGTGCAACCTCTCTGTGGAATGGTTTACCACCGGCGATTTTTCCGGACCGATACGACCTGGGGACCTTCAAGAAAAGAGCTTACTCCTTTCTAAAGGGCCGGCATTGCACCTGCAATTCCCCTGGTGTTACGGTTGATCATGGGCGGCGGTAGTCACTTAACACCAGGTGAGCCGCATGCTCGATTGCCCCCTCTTCTATAAAAAAAAAGTTTGTTACAAATTTATTTAAAGTAATTTTGTTAAGATAACTTGGGGCTTGTTTCTGATATATAATACGTAAGGAGGATATTAGAACTAAAAGAAAAGTATCTACATAATATGCTAACATTTGCTAACGGTTCAGTAAGCCCTCAAACAACGTAAAATAAGTACATCTAACTAGATCGTGTAACGACCCGAGGAAATAATTTTACGTAATTTTACGTGGTAGAGCCATGCTGCAGTTACATTAGTAGTATAGTTGTAGCACGAATGGGTCGGCTCGACCGGGGTAGGATCACGCTCTCACAGAATACCAAGCGTCAACTATTTGACTACTAGCTTAATGCTGCTGTGTTTCGTATGGTGAGTGTAGAGAACCGGAGACCCTTTTTACTGGAAACGAGGCATTCCACCTAAGTTCTCACGGATGACGCATCTGCATTTTGATTCGTAATCGAGGATAAAATATGTAGATGTCTATGGGCCATAGCAACCACTTACCATCAAGTGGACTGTGTGCTCGTTTGTCATCCTATCCTATAAAAAAAATATACAGGAGACAGGTTGTTAGAAGCCAAATCATAAGGTGAAGTAGGTCTATGGTCAACAATAAATGTAAAGATGTTGAAGATTGATTTTGTTAAGATAATATATCACAATGAAATATTTGAAAATGGACTCAAATAAATAATCAGATTCATGATTGAAAAACAATCAAAACTGGATATTATCTGAGTGATCAGAGTAGGTACTTTTTTAAAGAATAATGGTGACAAACGAGAACATAGTCTACATGATGGTAATTGGATGTCCCATAGACATCGGGTATGTTCCGAAATACAACGCAGTGTACTGTCCAATGCAAATGACGTATCATTTGACATTTTATTGTATTAGCGTGCCGCCGCCATATTGTGTCGGATATCCGGCCATAATAAAACAATTTTTAACTGTGTGTTTGCCGAATGAAGCATGCCAGAATTTGTTTCTATTTATTCAAATACAAAAAAATATAGAATAATTGATGGTATGTCCATTAGGAGGATATAATGTTTTTTGGAGCACAAAATGACAAAATAATCGCCAACACCTTTCCAAATGGCGCAAAAGTATGACGTCATATACTGTCCAATGTTTCGGAACGAATCACCAGTATAGCGTCGATTCATAACGTCATTTGAATTGGACAGTACACTGCGATGTATTTCGGAACATACCCATCATCTATATTCAATAAAAATCAAAATGCAGATATGTTGGCACCCCTGAGGACGAAGATAGAATGCCTCAATTTCAGTTAATAGGATTGTAGAGTCTCCAGTTCTCTTGAAACACAGCATTATTCAGCTTCTCCGGTCGAGCCGACCCATTCGTGCTACAGCATAAGTAGGTACCTAAAAATTAACAGTATCAAATGCGAATGCAAAGTAAACAAAACATGTGTACTGAGTTTGAGGGAAAAGGTATAAGTATGCTTGAAATCTAATTATATCATAAAATTATTGAACAATGACCATACATTATTAAAATTGACCATGCAATATTTTAAATTTATATAAATAGTGACACATTTAATTGATTTTTTTATTTATTTAAAAATTATGGAATAAAATCAATATTCATATTAATATGTAGTAAAAGATAAATGATTCCTTTTATGTTTCTTTGATCCCTTGAAATATTTTGAGGTCCGAGTAAACTTGCAATATAAATTTATCAAATGATTTTCGTTACGTCATGCAAAATACGCTTTCGTTAAATAATGTTGTTTTTCTTGTAAATGCTGTATTTATTTTTTATAGGATATTGGTGACAAACGAGCACAGTCACACTGATGTTAAATAGTTGCTGTGGCCCATAGACATCTACATCTATACTCGAATACGAATCAAAATACAGATACGTTGTCACTCGTGAGGACTAAGATGGATGCCTCGTTTCCAGTAAAAGTTCAAAAATCACCATATTAAACTCATCAGCGTTAAATTGCAACTTTACGCTGTATTCTATAAGAGCATGGTCCTTCCCCGGGCGAGTCGACCCATTCGTGTTATAACTATACTGTTAATCTTGAGATGCAGCAGCTGCATATATGATATTCATATACCATTCTTATCCTCTATTGGCAGCCTCGTACCGGTAGGTGAAGTGTAGGGGAGCTCAATAGATGGAGTAACAACCTGTAAGACAGGCAGGGAGTTGATGGATACAGGTGGCTCAGGATCGTGCTTTGTGGCATTCCTTGGGGGAGGCCTATGTTCAGCAGTTGACTTGTGATGGGCTGTAATGATGATGAGGATGATATAGAGTTAATTCTTTTAATTTTTTTAACCATAATATAGATTATAAAATCAAATTCTTTGTCTAACTTAGGAATCAGCTTTTCCTGAAATTTTGTACAATTTTATCGATTATACTAAAGTATTTGATTATTTTAAATTCCATTACTGAAATGATAATGCAGACCCTCACAGTACCATTCATGTTACCAAGATGTTTTCATTGTCACATAACAATTTAAATTACAAATTTAAGTTACACAATTTTCTAATAGAATCAAGTGAGCTTAAATTACTTAGGTAGGTTCTAGCTCAAATTTTACTCGCCTGTAAGATAAATTTCCTTAAAATTTGTAAGATAAATTTTTGTATTGATAAATATAGATAACAGTTTATGGTCATAACCAAACATATCATGTGTGTCTTTTTTGGCCAGGCTATATAAAAATGTATATAGTGCCAAGATACACTATATTATTCTGAGTGGGTATGTCAAAAAGAGTTAATGAAGTTGTGGACACTGTAAACTTACAACATCATAAATCATTATCATGTACCGTACAGGTTAATAGTTTTCAGAAGCGGTTCTAATACATCAACTATCTTCTTTACATTTGGTACAATTTCTAGCACATAGCCCTAATCGTACTCACCATATTACTTACCAATGTCTTTCGTGATCATCCTTTCTATTAAAGGCACCGAAGGAAATAGCCGCAATGATTCCTTGATAACCAGTTCTAAATATTTCATTTCATGCAGTTCACTAGAAATAAAAACGTTGATGACTTTGTATCAAAGAAATGTGTTACTTTTACAAGGTGACAAATGAGCACAAGGGTCACCTGGTCGTAAATGGATCCTGAAGTTTATAATCCACTATACTTATCCTCTATTAAACATTAAAATAGAGATGCGTTTAATCTCGGTACTTGTCAAAAGAGGCTTAGATTCTTGTTACTACAAAACACAGCACCATTACGGTATTATTTAGGAGAGCCAAAAGTGATATCAAAGAATACTGAAGGATCTACAGATTTCAATGTTGAAATTAATTTCTTGTGTGGTGAAAACTTAGACGGTGCGACGAAGTGATATTTACCCGTGTTGAAATTTACAACGTGCACAATGAGTACTGGTAGAGTTTCCAAAACCCACACAAAATCAAAGAACATGCTCATCATGTTCGTTTCAGTGTAAACGTTTGGGCTGCATCATTAACGACCACATCACTGATCCAAAATGGATTGAGGGTGTCTATCGACCTTCAAATGAAACGTTTCGTCATCGACATCGTGTTAGTGAAAGTTTAAGAAACAATTTACAAAGACGTGCTAGTTTGTGTTTTGACGTGATAGAGCCACGTTGCAGCTATAATATTGTTGTAGCACGAATGGATCAGCTCGACCGAGGCCACGCTCTCACAGAATACCAAGGTAAAATTGCAGCGTAATGCTGCTGTATTTCGTATGGTGAGTGTAGAGAACCGGAAACCCTTTTTACTGGAATCGAGGCATTTCATCTTAGTCCTCAGGGGTGACTACGCATTTGCATTTTGATCCTTAGTTGAGGATAAATGTGGATGTCTATGGGCCACAACATCCACTTACCATCAGGTGGACTATGTGCTCGTTCGACACCCAATGCTATAAAAAAGACATTTTGAACAATTACTGTGATATCGACAAAAAGGTATTTTTTTGTGAAACACAATTTTGTAAATATCAATCAGTGAGGTTTGTAAATAAGTTGATTTTTAGCTTTAAAAAAACGGGTTGCAGTATACGGTAGGCATAAAGTTTGTAGCCTACGTAGCGCCGTCTAAAATTATTTTTAGTTTTATGCAAAAGCGGTAGGATGAATTGTTTTAATGCATTTTTTTGGATATTCTGAAATTTTGCCTATCAGTTTTTTTACAAAATACTTTCGTGGATAGCTTCTATTCCACTTACACAAATAACCATAATATTTTCCAGACGGTAAAAAAGTCACCCAGTATTAGGATTTTTCAGAAACTTTGTCAGGCGACTAAATCTAGTCCAGTTCGATCCCCAGAAGACACAAGTTTGCGCATTTACCGCTAAAAAGAACCGCTTCGTCACATCTCCTCAGTTTCAAGGCACTCCCATTGTTGCCTCAGCCAGAATTGGAACCCTCGGCGTCGATATATCGATTGACGTGCAGTTTAGTGGTCACTTGAAATAGAAGGCCAAATTGGCCTCTAAAAAGCTTGGCATGCTCAGCAGAGCGGGACAGTATTTCAAACCGGCACACCGCCTGCAACTTTACAAGGCGCAGGTTCGGCCGCACATGGAATACTGTTCCCATCTCTGGGTTGGGGCTCCACAGTGCCAGCTTCTTTCATTTGATCGCATGGTGTTGCATTTGTTTATGGACGGTGGTAAGCACTGACCATCAGGTGAGCTATATGTTCGTTTTCCCCTCCTATAACAAAAACCTTGTTACTAAATTTTAGGTTTCTAAGTAATCTGGAAGGATTTTGATGGGTGAGTCAGTTATACAGACTGTGAGTGATAAAATTAACACTATTCAGACCATAATAACTCAAAAACTAGGGGTTGTTCTCATTAGGTATGCGAACATTATACATATATCTCCATACTAGTATTTTAAATATTATACGAGTTACCGTAACCTGAATCAAGGAAGGCGTGGCCCCTAATTAGGAATATCAGTTATTACTCTGCGCTGATTTTACGTCCTTACTCAGTCATAAGGGTGGGCAAGTGAAAAAAATATATCGATATTTATCCTGTCGATATTTTTATATAGTAACAATACATTGCGTGATAAATATCGATATATCGTCATGTTTTTGTGTGTGAGTAGGGCCTTTTTAATTTTTTAACATAAACAAGCATTAATTTAAAAAAATAGTTTTACATTTATTTCTTTAGAGTTGAATTTAAAAATTACAAATTTGACAACCTGGTGCCTAGTAAGCAGTTTCTCTCCTGGGTGATTGCAGATTTAGTCTCTGAGAATAACCGCTCACGGGTACCGAAGTTTCCATGATAGGTAAATAGATCTTAGCTAGGCTATGAAACCTAGAAAATAACCCCTTCAAGTCATCTCACATCTCCAACGCATCTCCCTTTATAGGAGTGACAGGTGATGACATAAACATATGAAATTCTGTTTCTGCTTTAGTTTTATTTCTTATCCCCTCGTCTGTCAAAACTCATATTCTGGCGTCTTAAATAATATGCGCATCTGTCAAATGCCATAATATAGCGTCGAGTGATAGCAAACTATTTGTAACATATATATGATATATAACATACATATATATATAATATATAGCTCGTTTTTTTTTTTAATTCGTGTGTTTTGGAAATTATATTTAGATACAAATTACATACAGATGAAATACGAATAATATTTTTTGATCTTAGCGACATAATAGAAAAAACTGAACTTGTTATTTGAATAAAAAATAATGAGTGCAATTAGTTTAATTTAAATTTTCGTGTTTTTAAAAAATACTAAAAAAGGGCTCGAAAAAAATAGATTTTCTCAAAAAAGAAAGGAACTTGAAAAAAAAAATTAAAAAAAGTCGGTCGGTCAGTCTGGGCTCGAACCATGGTATCACGATTTTGTGACCGCCCAATATACCAATTAAGCTATTTGTAATCATTAATAAACTGTCAAAATTTACCTTCTTATTCTAACGATATTGTAGCAGTTTTTTATTGCCTAAAAACACAGACAAAAAGACATTTTCTAAAAATAAATCCTAGCTAGATCGATTTATTGCCACCGAAACTCCCTGCAAACAAAATTTTATGAAAATCGTTGGAGACGTTTCCGAGATTCCGATTAAATATATATATATATATATATATATATATATATATATATATATATATATATATATATATATATATATACTTAGTATACTTGTTATATACTTACTTAGTCTTCGGAAAGTGCTCGAGCGATGCGCCATATTAGCCAAAATGACCCCGAAAGTCGAGTTCGAGTTCGAGGTTATGTTGTGGTGCGTTAATTTGGCAGTTTCATATGTCAAGTTCAATATTATCGCCGTTTGTGAATACATCTACAAAACTATACTATGCCGAAATACAAACAGGCGAATAACCAACCGTTCATCCATCGAAATCAATATTTCAGAAAAGTGATTGCAACGAAACACGAAGTGCTGTAGCCAATAAAACAATTTCCGTTACAAAATAACTATTACCTTATAAGATTGTTCTTACGCTATTGATCGAGTTAAAGCTTAAACAATATATTTATTAATAAAAAATAATGAAATAATTTCAACTCATTTTCAATATTTGTAAACTCTTCGACTTTTATTCCGCTCAATCTCGCAAAACATCGCTCATGTTTTGTAAACGATGTTTCTGATTGATTATTAACGACATATCGATGTTTGAAAAAATTGATGTATCATTTGCATTCCTAATCGCGCATCGAAAAAGGACCCTAACTGCCCGTAAACGTATTATTACACTGTACGGTCGTAAGGGCACTACGGACCGGGTCAACTCTGACGCCCTAATTAGGGACCCTTACTGCCTTACTCTTATTACACTTCTCTTATTAGGGGCTCCTTAAAATCTGTCAAATTGTAATAATAAAAAGTACCTGTATGTGGCATCCCTATTTAAATTATCCTTGAAAATAGTCTTTTGTTCAGCAAAAACTTTATCTTGAACTTCTTTGTGCCTTGAGATACAGAATAGTATAAATGAAATAGCGGAAGTAGTAGTATCGTGACCCTGAAAATGAACCGACATTAAAAAAAATATTATTTATATTTACGCGAACACTACACTTTACGTATTAGGTATGTTGAGTTTAATTAAACTAATTTTTAACCGCCGACGTTTCGAGTATTTGCAGCATACGTAGTGATGAGGGGACTGAGGAGTTTGACGTCTCGATGTCTTTGTTACTCTATGTTGAAGTCTTGCAGTGGTATCCAAGCATATCATAGTTTGGATTTAATTTTATTAGTTACAAGTTTCCAAGCAGGTAACAGGACTTAGCTGCCTTCTTTTTTGAAATAAGGATGTTTTTTTTATTTCAGTAGCGTCACAATTCCTTGGTATCCATGTTCCTTCGCGAGTTTTTGTGGTCTATCAAATTCTGATGTAATGACAACTTATGTCACATGTAAACTCCTGGGTCTTTTACAGGGATGTGGTCTCCTTTATATAGGGCAAAGATAAAAGATCACATAGCTAACATGAAACACCAACTGGAAGTCTGCAGTCTCTGAATATATTCTAGGCGCTAATCTTTATATTTCTGCTTGTGACAAAAGCTAATCTGTGCAATGGGACTACCGTTGCTCTATTAAAAGAGACGTCTAATGACAGTTTTATTAGATTCGAATGAATATGTTATATACAAGGCAATAGAGCAAAATAAGGGGCCCAAATTAAATTTCCAAAAGCTTTGAAGGAGACGTGTATAATTTTTTATTAGAGTCCAATGAAACTATTATACAAGAGGTACGTATAGTAAAAATAACCTAAGCATAAATAGAGGTACGTATTGTAACAGACCCAGATTAAAATTTCGAAAGTTTGAAAAGATTCGCGTAGTTTTGCCACTCCCATAACAAAACTGCCGAACTTATCACTCAAATCGGAGGCTTATAATGTTTCACATCCTGCGACAAACCATTAATCGCTTTGATACAATAGTGTTTATTATATCGAAAAAAAAATGAGGTAGCTTTGTTAGGCCTTGCCAGTAAGTTAAAAATGTGTTGTCTTGTCACTCATACCACTCAGTTTAAAACGTAGGGTCTTTAACCCATATTAGAACTGTAACAAGTTATGGATTTTAAATGAAAGATGGCTAGCATAAAATGAAGCAGAGGATAAATACTAACAAGCGCCTTGGGAGTTGGGAGTGGCCAATGTTAAAAAAGGCGTACAACACGGCGTATTTGACATTTTATTTGTAATTAATCCCAAGTTGAATGTGATTTATAGGTAACAAGGTAACACGCCTACGAGCGCTCCTATGTGTGCGAACGTTTTTTGGCCTAGCAACCCTTACGAACGTGTGCGTGCGTAGTAAAATAGTCAGCGTTAGATATTTATGAATGACAATCAGTAAAAATAATGCATTACCACGCATTCTGATTTTAAAATATAAAAAGAACAGTGTTTGAATTTTGTTATTAATTTTTCTGCACCATTTACCTATATTACTTATTCTGAACCCTCTCTGCAAATTTGGGCGTATATTGCGAAACAACCCCTTTAACTACTATCGCAATGAGCGACGACTACTGAGTTGGATTTTCGGTCGAAATTGGACTTACCTAGTTAGACAATTTACTTTATTTTCAAATTATCCTAGGTAAACATATTCATTAGCGATTACATTTTATGCTCCCAAAAGTAATCGGCGTCGGTTCGATACGTACACACGACATTTGTTATAAACGGTTATGACTATAATATATAAATAATATTAAATTTTACCTCGAACAAGAAAGTATCCACTTCTTCTCGTATCAGTTCATCGCTTATCCGGTTACCGTCAATCTCTGATAGCAAAAGAAGATCAAGGAATGCGTATTTGTTTTTAGTTCCTAAAAAGTAAATAAAATATATACCTACCTTTATAGATAGTACATAATATAAACCAAAAATTTATCTAAATCTAAAGGAAATTCTTATATTGCTCTACCAAATAATTCAATAATTACTAAATGAATTCAACTTATTTAAAAAAAAGCCTCTTCAAAAAGATACTTTACTTCGAAATGAAATAGGATAAAAAATTACGTTTGGCTAAAAAAGTGTTAATATTTTTATCTCTGTTATTATTGTCTATTTTTTATTTTTTATTTTTTACGGTCAGAGTGCTAAAAATCTCAGTATGGTGCATTTTTTTCCAGATTTAAGAGGCGACATAGAATTGACGAAAAGATCCTGGAGCTAGAAGAAAAGATAGAAAAGTTGCACAGGAAAATTATATCTGAGGTCCAGACTGGGAAAAGGGCAATCTGGCAACTTGTACCTAGTTGTAACTAGGAGTTTATACTCAGAATCAACAAACGGTGTTCGTTGAAGGTTTTAGATGTATCTGGTTGAAGGTCATAGAAGTTTTCACATCAACCTTGGCACATCCCGATGAGCAGATGGATGCGAAATAGGACATCTCTAGAGAGATGTTCGTAATGTACAAACTGTTCTGTTCTTTTATATTCCAAAGATGGAGACGAATCTAAACCAGGCTACAGGAGATCACTTGTTCAAAAACTAGATTACAAATAAGTTGTCTGTAAATGTCAACCCTTCTGGGGCATCTGAATAAAAACGCATTTATAATATACCTAATGTAATAAAATCTGTAAATGTGGGGTCATAAGTTATGATAGTTGTTTTACCAATATCTGAATTTGCGGCCATTGTAGTTATGTTTGCTTTTTTGAGTTCCTCACGCCGAATTTCTATGACCTTCCTAGTGTGCCCGTGTATGATATTCAAAGCTTGATCTTCAATTTTTTTGTACTTAGACATTTTAAATATTGCTTTCTCTGCCATAAATATATTTCTCATTCTTAGTGCTACGATAGAACTTAGCCTAAAATATAGTTAAACAAGTTTGTTGTTAATCAATTAATTTATTATATATAGCATCCGTTGTGCATAAAATTAATTAGTTTTATAAAATACTTACTCTCCAATTGCTTTTACATATTTCGATTCTTTATCCTTTTGAGCGTTGAAGGACATTCCCATTATAGATTCTGCAATGTATTACTTAATATTTTATTTTATTTGATATTTGTATAATGTTAGAACCTATGTTAGACTGTGATTTAGCAAAGATATGATTTCTCATTTGGTTTCGCTTATTATGAGTTCGCCTATTACTGGCAAATAATGTATCGCCAGAATTCATTTTTTTCTTTCTTTCAATGTAATTCGTGACAGTTGAAGATTTATTATCGCTTGGCGGTTTGAATAGAATGGAGGACCGGAATTTCCTGTTTGAAATTTCGTGAAAATACATTTGAGAGTTTAAATTTTCTCAGTGAAATGGAGAACCACAAAATAGCTATCTTATGTTTATACATAAAACATAAAGTGTCCTTTAGAATTAATGAGGAACCAATTGTCACTTTTCAACTTATCATAATCCCATAGATTATATATCTACTTAATTTTCAATTGTTTGACAGTTATTTTTAACACAACATAGAGCAAAACGGGCCACCGGCGGACCGGATGGAAGTAATCATACCACAGAATATATATACCCCTGAAGACAGCCTCGTTGGTCTAGTGGTTGTAGTAGTGCGACTGCTGATCATGAGGTCCTGGGTTCGAATCCCGGGTCGGGCCAAAAAATCAATTATTAAGTTTTTCTGTCAAGAAATTCTCAGTAGTTGCCCGGAGTCAGGAAGTTGGCGGTGTCTCACCCTCGTGCCTCGGAAAGCATAGCAAGCAAGCGTAAAGCCATTGGTCCTGCGCCTGATCTCTCTCCGGTCGTGTCGGTTTACCGTCCCATCGGATTATGAGAGTGAGGGAATAGAGAGTGCACCTGTGCTTGCGCATACACTTGGGCACTATAATCCTGTCCTGCGTCGATGGCTAGCCTACGTTGAGGCAGGCCGCCGTGGCCGAAATTCGGTCTGGAGGACATTAATTAATTAATACCCCTAAAGAATCTGTCAAAGTAAAAATCCACGTGGTCCTGTGTGTACAATAAAACTACTAAGTTTAAGTTAAGTAACACTGCTCACTGCACTATAATCTAGTTCAGTTTTCTTTGCTCTAAAAGAGATCTGACACGTCAAATTTACAAAGAGATCTTTCATATATAAGTTAATAATTTTTATCACATTATTGCTCTTCTTTTTAAACTTAAATATTACAATAACAGCGGCCGTGTTGCTTCAGATTTGATTACAAACACAGATCGCCCACCCCCATAAAATGTGCGGATCGGTATCAAAGTGATAGAAGATTTTTTACTATATTACTGTTAAACTTCCCCAAACGACGTGCATTTACTGAAACAAACACAACTTTATTATCTACTTGCTTTTTGTGAACATAAGGTAACGAAACTAATTGTCCACAGCGATCAGAGCTCAATATTTGAATTATTAATTATTATTATTATTATATTGAATTATTAATTATTATAATTATTATTATTATTATATTGAATTATGAATTATATATTGATGTATAATCAATAATTGAACGGCTTAACATTTGTAAAAACGTTATCTATAAATGTTGCACTAGATTCAGCAATACGCGTTGGCTCCAAAAATAAATTAAAAAGACCATAAGATTTAAACAATAATCTAATAACATTTGTAAAAACTCTTGTTTGAGCGTTGGCTGACCATAAGATTTTTTTTTATATTGGTGGAGGAAGCTTCTAGGAGATTGATATTAAAGTCTCCACATACATATTACAACAGATTTATTCTGTTTATTAAGCTTAGCGAAAACTTTCTCCATAATTACACAATAAACAATGAGATGCTCAAACTCAACACATGCCATTTCTACAGCTCGCTCAACAGAGAGGCTCACAAGTCACAATATCTTTACGTTCTTTACATGATTATAATTTACTCGCTAAAATTAAGGAGCCACCTCTTACAACCGTTTCTCTATTGAAAGTACTGACCACCTGGTGATTACTTAAACATTAAGTTATAAGCTTTTAACCAATGTTCAGTAATACTTAAAATATGAATTTTGTTGCTATTTAAGAACAATTTAATTTCTAGCTCTTTGCCTATCATGCCTTGTATAATATTAGGTGTAAATAATTTCTATTATCATTTCGTGGAGTCATACAATTGCAACTATTAAGGATTTGTAAGCTACATTCTAAATTATTTAAATTATTATAACTGCTAGAGATTACCTTTACTGTCTCATTTTTTTTAATTTAAATTACTTGGAACTGATTCCAAATGCATGTCAAATCATTATGCTGCTCAATAGGAGCAGATGTCTGGGTAGCCAAGTCCTTGGCTGAGTTAATATATAAATAATAAGATAGCACATTTGCTATCTGTCTTAAATTATATTTGGTTAGGTAATACCTATCTGTAGTCAAAATTTCTTAATTAAATTATTAATGTCTATTAAATTAATTCTATTAATATAATTGTTACAATTAATTGTCTTAAGTACATGACAAATTATTCAATAATAAATATCATATCTTATTTTATTCTCCTGTGGCCAACCCTGTATGTAAGGCATACAAACAAGATAATTTTATGTACATTTAAAGTATTGATGCAATATATTTTAATAATTCCTTTTTGTTTACATTGCCCACTGACCTCTATATATTTTGTAGATAAAGCGGTCATTGTCTCTTCTCTGGTCGAGCGCATAGACTACTGTTTATATACTAGAGAGTCGACCGATTGACCCGAGTCTGTATTCGAGTTGTCGCTCCCAGACAACCAGACAACTTTGTGACAGGCTATTGTTTTTGTGTGCGTAGATATCCTACCACAAAACATGATAGACAGTTCTGTATCGGGAAAAAAGCTACGACGGAGTAGCCTCCGGTCGGCCGGTCGCCCGTATTGCTCTATGAGTATTGTAAACTTAAAGTATTACATAATAAGTAAATAAGTACATCTCCATGCTAAACCTAGTTATATTATACTCTTTGGGTCATGCGTGATTGAATAACAGCGGTATGCTTTATTAAGTATATCCTTGAAAAAAATATGTTTTTCAATAGAATAATTACCCGTCACATTGTCCAAAGCAGCTAATGCTATGATAGGAAATAGATTAATATCAGTCTCCCCATCTGCGTATATTCTTAAATTTTCTATAAGGACCTTTTCTATCCTACAAAAAACTGGCAGGAAATTTTGAAGAATATTAAAATGAAAAGCCGGTGTCAAAAATTTGCGATGCGATCTCCATCTTGAACCTAAAATATATATATTTTTAAATTACGTATAGCATCTAAAATGAATTGTGGCTATCTAACATAAATAAGATCTAAATCAACCTGAGAAGAGTAGGTATAATGAAATTTATAATAGGTAATTTAAGGTCAGCAAATCATCTCTACTATGGAAGGAGACCTTCTCCAGCCATGGTATATTTACAGATTTCTAAAAGTGTGTCTGCATATTATTTCTAAATCAAACTACAAGAAAATAAGCTATTAATCTGCCAATCACAGGTTCATTGCTGAACATGAGCCTGCTCCATAGATTGCCTCTCCGGGGATATTCGCCATGCTTGATAGGCGGTATGGCAATCAGTTATTTTATTATCAATTGGGAATTTGCTGCAGGTCATCTCCTGTTTTACTTTGCCTCTATTATCTCTTAAGACGCACACCAGATGATATTGATATCAGGTATTTGATTCTATAACGACCCCACTACATGGCAACCTAATGTACACGGACGAAATGAAGGTAGGTAAGTGCCTACCTTCACAGGGTTATTTTTCAAAGATTAGCCAAATTTTAGACTTAAGTTCAAATATATAAATAACGATATACCGTTACTGAAAATATCGTGCTGAAAATACGAGTAAATAAGGCTTCTACTTTTACTTGAAATTATCCAAATTAAGTATGATTTATAGGCAACAACCACAGAAATGAAATAGTAATAATATTGTCTATATATATGTATGTTTGAGATTTTCAAAAATTAATTTTTTCTTGACCATTTGCATATTTTACTTATTCTGAACCTTTTCTGCAAATTTTGTAGGTTATTGCAAAATAACCCTGTATAAGATTATATTACCATTTAAATCAACGACTATCTTTTAGGTGTGAGATTTCGTGTATGTAAATAAAGATTGAATATTTTAAGTGTAAATAATTTTATTGTAACACAAACCTGTTTCTTACCTGTCGACGTAAGAAGTCCATCGCCAAGCCAAGGTCTGAGAAAATCGTACGATCGACCTTTGGTAATTAATTCAGAGTGTGTCACTATGCCCTTAAAATAGAAATATAATAGATGATCATTTCATAAACTAAGCGTTTATTTCATATGGTATCAGCCTAGGTTACAATTATAGTAGTTTCTTGTTAAATAAAAACGTTTCACTTCGTTAATTAAATTCTTCTTTCATATAAAAAGTATATTATAATTAGACTTAAACGAACAGTATTTTCGGCCACACGCCGAATACCGAATATTCCACGGGCTTCCTGGCCGAATAGCCGAATATTGGGCAAAAATATTCGGCCGGGAAGGAAGTATTGTTTTTTATTCACAGCGTCTATTTTCGGAAGCTGTGATTGTCTACAAGAAGAAAGTAAACTTCTGCCTGAAAATGCAGAAAAATTAGTCTTTCTGCACCATAATCTTCCACTTAAATTACGATAAATTAAGTGCATAGACATTTATCTAATAGTTTTTTTTAATACGGAAGTTTATTATTTACATTAACTACTTCAATAATTATAATAAATATACATCATAATAAAATAAATCAATATTTTATTACCAATTATCTTAATACAAGAAAATAATCAAGTATTCGGTATTCCGAATATATAATACCGAATATAAGCTGAATATTCGATGCAAGTCTTAATTATAATATGTGTTATCTCTTTTTCGACGCCCTCAAGCAAAAACTGGTAATGTGCGATTATTGAGTTTTTACTCTCCATACGAAACACAGCAGCATCAAGCTGCAATTTCACGCTAGTATTCTGTGAGAGCTTATTGCTACCCTGGTCGAGCCGACTCATTCACGCTAAAACATCTGCAGCATGGCTCTAGAACGTACAACGTGCTTAGAGCATGAAAAGCATTGATCCTTATTGGTTTGAACATGCTAAATACAAAATAAAAGTATCTCTAGAAAAAATTCATTGGCATCATTCAGAAAAAAACAAAAATATTGACTAAAAGTAAGGATAAACGAGGTGGATACATTTAAATTTTTGGGAATACATATTGACACACATCTTTAACTGGAAAGAACATATCGGTTTCATGTGCAAAAACTTGAGCGTTTTACATTTGGTATAGACTACGCCAAACGGTCTCATTTGAAGCTGCACTCACGGCTTACCACTGATTTGTATCGTCAATACTTAATTATGGTATACTTCTGTGGGGCAATACAGTGGATACGGAAATAATTTTTAAAATACAGAAGAGATACATTTATATTTATTTATTTATATTTTCAAAACAGTCTACATGCTCGCTTACAGTATGCCCAAAACGTCAGCATGCTAATTTACAAATTACAGTTTTAAATAATAGTAATAATATAAGATACATGTCAAAAGGTCAAACAAATTAAAGAATACATGTCCAATTGATCAAATAAATACCAAAAAAATGCATGCCAAATAGATTAAAAGTCAAATAGATTACATGTCAAATAAATTAAGCAAAATGTCATTGTCAGATTGTTTACATAAGATAAGACTAAAATAATATATTACAATATGTCAACATTGGAAGTCGAAAATAGAAAGGCTTTATTAAACATTTGTGCCTTGTGCAATGTTTGGTACTTGGACAGTTGCAAATCTCTTTTTAAACAGTTTAGCTTGCTCCCGGTACCTTGCATATATATTAGGGAAGCTTGGCTTTTTGCAAAATCCTTCCCCAGATTTTACAAAACACGTGGAGAAGTCACATTGAGACAACACAACAGTACACGAACCTAAAACATCAATCTCCCTGTCGCAAAGATATATATAAAAGAAATGTTTATAATATGACTGTAGTAATATATAACTTGCTCCCGGAAAAACTCATAATTAGTTAGTGGGCCGATATTAAAAAAAAGGATTGCCTGACTGGCTCTGGGATAAATGTTTTTATAGTTTTATGGAATATTTCAATTGGAGACATTCAATTAATATATGATTTAATTTAAATTTATTTTATTTTATTATGGGTATTATTATATTTTTTGCACGAATTTTCATTTCTTTTGTGACATACACTTTAATTTAATTTAATTTATATTATAATCATCATCAATTTTTGCACGTTTGCGATCACACTGAACACATATACTGTACTTATATTTATTGTGACCTCTTTCAACTGTGTTTTTTGCAAATACGTAATAAATGTTTTAACTTAAACTTGAAGTTGTGAACATTGAATTGCCACAATCCCTGTTTTTGCGATAGCGAATAAGGTTTACAACAACTAATAATAATGCGGTTGAAGAAACTTTTATTTTTTGATAATGATTCAAATCGATTCCAAACCTAAATTATTATTACCTTAACTTCTAGACTCGTTTAATAGTCCTCTTTTTGATCTCATAACAATTTGTGATATATTTTATTAAAACTAAAATATTTTATGATTTTATGTGATTTTGATAATATAAAATAAATTAATATTATTATATTCATAAATATTTAATTTTTTTTCATAAACTTTGACATAAAAATATATACTAAATTAATTTGTCTTAAAAAGTTTGCTAGTATTAGACGATTACTTATAAAATATAATTTTGATTTTTTACTCCTAAAACAGGCTTTTACTCTATCTATTATAAAGTACAGCAATAATTTTCTGATAGTACATTACATTTTGTCTCTTGATAAAAAAATGCTCCGTAAGTTAATAATACGGAAACATTATTAGCACATTTAATTGATAAATAAGTAATTTTTATTTTCCGATATTGCTTGCATTCAAAATTAGTTAACACAACGCCAACATCAAAATCGGATTCTATAAAAAAATCTTTCATTAGATATTTCGATCATTTTTATTTAATATTCCAATGCATTCCTGAGTTATACAATATTTTTTCCTGTAAAATTAAATTACTGAAATTTTGCTCACGAGCGTTGATATATAAAAATCAATTACTGTCTATTAGTTTCGCTAAAACTCAAAAACGGCTCGACCTATTTTGATTAAAAAAAAATCCGAGTATTTAAATGGGTCTATGGCTGAATAAAGTTTAATGGTAGATGGCTTAAATTCACTCACTCACTTACATTGTGTTATCCTTGACTGATATGTTTATGAACATTATTTATTTTGACGAAACATACAACAAAATGGGCGGAAGAAATTAAATATCATACAGTATGCAAAATGTTCCAAGAAAAATCATTAATAGTAGGCCTCACCTCAATATACTTTGGATGATATAATATCACGTATCTTCTGGAGAAAAGATGCAAGCGTACAGCCTTTCCATATTTTTCTTGTAATCGTTCAAATACACCTAACAACTCTGAAACAATAGAAATTTCAGCATCAGATCAGCGATCCGCTGGCCATGTAAGGCGATTATTCAAAAAGAATTTGAAAAAGTAATATTTAATTTCGTGCGTAATTATTATGACAAAAACAATCTCATAAAGTAATGTCATTATAACAAAAACGTCTTCGACTAGTTCTTTTTTAACATTTCTTAATTGACAGCTGGCGGTTCCGAGTAGGCTCGTCAAGCTCAATTCGGGTGCGTGTTGATGTTAGTGTTGGTGTTCTGTGGCGAAATGGGTGTCTTCTTTTACTTGTTTGTGAATCGTACTTGTTGTGATGATCAAAAGATGGTGATGTCATGATAGGAGTAGAATAAGAGTATCGGCATTGTGTTAGGCCCCTCTCCCCAAAACTCCGCAGCTGAAACATGGTAGGAAGTGGAGCCATAGACCGGATCTGACGTTGGAGCCGGGAAAGCTTGATGCTTCCGTACTCGTTTTTTTTTCACGAAACCACAAGATATTGTTATTTTAATTTATGTAACTGACGATTATGTTTACTAGGATAAATTTAACTCCGACCGAGAGGTTAATTGCCAGATCCAGATCGGCTGAGCAATGTTCAGAAAATGTCTTTTCGAAACATCTTCACGTCACATCGACTTCAAAGCTCATTCAAATACATACTACAAAGACATAATAAGCAAAAATAACAGAGATATCCCCAGACTAACAAAATTTCTAACATTATATAAGTCAACATATGTAAAAGCAATTAGAGAGTATTTTATAAAAATTATGGCTGTAATGATGATGATCATAAGTAATGACTTCATGTAAATATACTGATAAAGATATGATGAATAATAGTTAAGTCAACGAAAATGTATGAAATTAACGACAATGGTCTATCTATATATCTATTCCTCAAGGTATTCTATGTATTGTATTTTAAAACATTTCGGATTAGGTCATAGATTGAGATTTGTCTTAATACGTTCATAAACAATTTATCCGATTTGACTGTTTTGAATGTTTGTTTGGTGAGTTGTGTGAATTGCCGCAAAGATTTTTAACAAACAGAGGCATTGCTACGATTGTACAACTAGCGTACATGCGGGTGTCCTGTTAATGCAGTCCTAACTAAATGTATTGTATTTTAAAACATTTCGGATTAGGTCATAGATTGAGATTTGTCTTAATACGTTCATAAACAATTTATCCGATTTGACTGTTTTGAATGTTTGTTTGGTGAGTTGTGTGAATTGCCGCAAAGATTTTTAACAAACAGAGGCATTGCTACGATTGTACAACTAGCGTACATGCGGGTGTCCTGTTAATAGCAGTCCTAACTAAATGTGGCGAGAGATGAGATCGTGCCCTATGAGAAGTGAGAACAGCCAAGAATTTTTTTTATTAATGTGTTACAGTTTTCAAACATTTTTATTTTAATACGTAAAAGGGGACAATCATTTTTGGGCCCACTAAAAATATTAACGTCCACTAATGGTATTACATCAAAAAAAAGACACCAAATTATAATAGTAAATGGCCTACAGATTTTTCGAAAATGTAAACGGAATCAAGAAATACGAAAAAAAAATTAGTTGTTTTGATATTCGTGTTCTGATTAGTGTAATATGGGTAAAATGCGTGTACCTAATTAGTCATTTTGCAGCTTGTATAAAAAGAAAACTATTTTTTCACAAAGCTGACTTAAAAAAAGATACCACTAAGAACTTTATGTTTAATTTCTAAAAATTTTAGCTAATATCACGTTATAACATAGTTCTAAATGACTGTGAACCAAAACGTTATTTTATCATTGACTTCCGGTAATTCCCAGCGGCCGGCGGCCGGGTACGGCGGGGCGGGGCGGCGGGGTATTACCTACGTCTTTAATCTTAACGGCATTGACGTTCGTTACGCTACTGTTTTTTTGTATTTATATGCGATTTTAAGAAAATGGAATCTGCTAGATCAGCATACAATGAAAATAGAAGTGTATGTTGCAATTGTGGAGTCAGGTTTCAACGCAGTGTGCGAAGACAATTACTGGCCGAGACAACTGCTGATGTGCGCCAACTTTTATCTGTGTGGATTTCTCATGAGGTAGGTATAATATTATCTCATGGAAAGCTAATCACTGCACTATACAATCTATCTACTTACATATTATCTAGATTTAAACTTTTATGAGAAATATATATTATTTTTGTTACTCTCGATTTTATTCCAACAATATTACTATACTGCGGAAACGAAAATTATATATTTTCTTTATTAATGTATTACTTAATATTTTTATTTTTGTTGAATAATATGGGATATGGTACGATTTTTTAGAAATAATACGAAAGAAAACGATCCACAGACTCCAGGCACACATAACGATCTATACATGATTAAGTACTTAATTATTTTAAGTTTTTAAAAGTAATAATAAATATCCCTTCATATTATTAATAAATTCATACCTTCTATAGCTATAATTTTAATCTTTCGTTATATTAAATTGATAAATGATATATTATATTGATTGAATTATTTTATATTTTGACACAAGATGACACTGCATTCTTTCCTGCTATTTACCAACTTACAGGCATAGTTCTTTGCATTGACTCCATTGACTGGCATTGACTGTAAAAATATAATATGGCATAAACTTGTTTGTTTAAATTGATGTAAACTGTGTTCGTGTTAAAGTAAAAGTTTAAAAATGAAAATTCACGTAGTTTTACTGCTTACAAGTGGATTAGTATGTTAATGTCTAATTGATGCAAAAAAATGTTTAACCTAAGGGTTATATCATGCACGTAAGTCAAATATTAAATACCTATATCACATTTATGTATATAATTTGCCAATGACATTCGAAAATGCAAACTGACGAGTAAAAGTCCATGTGAGTAATATAAAAGTTTATTTTTTCCTCCTAGAATTTTGTAAAATCTATAACTTATACTGAATTAACCTTTAACAAATGATAAACACAGGTCTTACTAATGTGTTAAATGTTAAAGTATTGAAGTTTTATGTTATTAGTGAAATCTAATTTAAATAATAGATAAAATAAAGTCACACAATATACACAAAAGAAGTTTTTGTGGCATGGTATGATGTATCACATGTTATGTGTGTCTAATTATCTTTTGTCAGTCAATCAGAAATCAAAGTCGAAAAAGTATAGGTATATATGTGTCAATATTTATTCTAAGGATAAAATATTATGTAAATAGAAAAGTAAGTTATTTTGTGCAATGAAAAATATTTCAATCCACTGTAATATTACCGTTACAGCCAATTAAACTCCACTGCCGAACATAGGCCTCCCCCATATATTACTAATATTACACAACTCCATAATACTCTAATATTATAAAGTTTATTTATCACTATATGATATACCTGAAATACTGTAAATATTGTAAAATCATAATATATTAATCGATATTTGTCTTTTGGATTTCCAATTTTTTTTTTAATTGAAAATGTATTGTATTTCAAATAATATAGGGTTCCACATCAAACATTCACTTTCATGCCAACTTCGCTTCCCTCCTCAAAATGTACATTTATCTGAACTTAATATTTATTTACTCTTTTATTTTTAATTCCTGATTTTTTCAGTTACACCCACTTGATGCAGTTTGTTGTAACTGCCTAAGAATATTGCAAGAAAGTGTTGCATCAGCTCACTCCATTAGAAGATTTGGGTACAGGAATATTTGTATTCCATGTGGATCTTCAATGTTAAGAGCACACCGTAGACGGATTGTGCCTATTAACTCTGAAGAAAGAGATATTATTTTGCAGTGGATACCATCACACCAGGTACTTACCTTATTTTAAAAGGCTGTAAATGGTCCCCTGCCTCAAATAGGCAGCCCAGAGGATTTGCCACAATCGCTTTGGTACACAGATTGATGTTTGTAAAATCAGACACCTTGCATACAATTTGGTCTGATATTTATGCTCATTCAACATGGCAGTTCACTAACAGGTTATCTTTAAATTTACAGTCTACCAAAAGTCTACTGCTGAACATAGATTGTCTTATGGGGGGATATTTGCCATTAATAACCAATTTTTTTATTTTTAGTTATTAGATGAACGATACTTCTTCCTTATCTTACACCCATATTTGTATGCTTTTGTACTTATTATACAAGTAATATTTTTTACCTTAAAAGACATTAGTATAAATAAAACGGGTTGGGTTTACAATTCGGTCGCCTCAATTTGAAGATTCTGTTACTGTGGGGGGCGTCAAGGGAGTTTATCTGAAGCACCTACACGCGAGTTTTGCTACCGGAGCAGCATCGAAGTATTTTTATTTATTTTTTGAAAATATTGGTAAACAACTAATTAATTAAATATTCTCACGTTTTTGACGTTTTATCTGTCAATGTCATATCGATATATAGTACTAAATCGATCTAGTGAATCGATATTTCACCCTAGAGAATCAAGATCAAATCTTTTCTGTTTTGTTAAGATTTACAAAATTATTTATAATTAGTTGAAAGTACCCCAACTCGTAAAGAATGACAGTTTTTCAATTTAATCATTCAATGTTATCTGAAACTTTAAAGAACTTGGGCTTAGTGAAATATTGTTAATAATTCTAAAATAATTACTTCTTGTCTGATATGTGATGTATTATTTATTTCTATTTAAATAAGTAGTGCCACAAAAATATTATGAGGGGAAACAATTGCATGCTAATATTTATAATTTTAAAAGACATTAAAACTATTTAGTGTTAGAAAGATTGAAATAAATAGAACAATAATAAATATTATTAATATTTAGAGTAGACACTGTAAAACTATAGTTCATTTTGTTAGTTGATAAAAAATAACTTTTTTTCAGGTGGATCGTTTAGAACGAGTATGCAGTCCTTGCTGGCTGAGGGCTTCCAGAGCTGTATGGAGACAGAGACAACAAAATGAGAACAGGGATATTGAGCTACAATCCATGAATATAGAAGACATCGGTAACATCCCACAACCACCCCCTATAC